AACAAACAAACAAAAAACAGATAAATGAGCAAAAACTGGGAACATCATCCAATCTGATGGGATTTTGACATTCTTGCCCAAAATCTCAAAACACCTCATGTGGGAATTCCAACATCACATGACATTTTGCAATTGCAATATTTAATTTTTAGCTACTTTTGGGACCCTGAAAACCCCTCTGGGGCATGCATATGCTATGGCACCCACAGTCATTACACAGCTGATTACTTAGTTTATGCAGTAGTCCTCAACATTTGTTGATGATGTTACAGAAGGAAACTGTTGCCCTAAGGAACCATAATATTTCAGTGCACAAAACGGTAGCTAGACTGTTCATTTTTGGAACTGTCCTCTTGAAGTTAAAAGATTTCAAACTGTTGTTTGAATTAAATCCCAAAATGGTGTCTTTAAAATGGATATTTAGTGCAAAATTAAAGCAGTCACCCAGCTGAAGAATGAAAGAAATGAAATTAGCTTACCGTTGGTAGTTAGAATGACAGGTCTCTTTGTAGTGCTCATGAAGGTCTTTATTGCATTTAGAAATCCAACATCTTCATCAAATATTATATCAACCTAGGAGAAGTGGGAAATATTTAATCATCTAACCATTGTATAGTTATCTTAGTTTTATGTAACTGGATCTGGGTTAATTTGAAAAATAGAAAGCTATCTAATTGGGGGGTAAAATAATTAATATTTTCAATTAAATATAGAACATGAAAAGTAAGCTATGTGCAATGGTAATTCAAGCAACAATATTTACTAATATTCTATTTGTTGGAAATACAAAAGTTAAGTGGAACCTACATTCTGAACTAATAATTATAGCAAAATTATATTAAAAGATTTTGAGTCAGGCTCTGGCCTTCTTTTATTCTGGATAGTGCCAGAGGGAATAGGATTTGCATTTAGTGTTACCTCTTCAAAGAGGATAAGAGAAGTTGCACATTTTTTACTGGATTTCTCTTCCTTGTTTCTCCTTTTTCCTGATTTTATCTGTGTTTTTTTTGCCGCTAAGCTTTTCCTATTTTCTGTGTGAACAAAAAATAAAATATCAGGTTTGTATCAGAGAAGAAAAAAGTAACATAATCCTGGGCTGTAAAATTTCCTCAAAGTATGTAAAAAAAAAATTACGGCTCCCATGCTTTTTAAGTTTGATTTTACAATGACATGTAATACTTATGCAGTTGTTGATCATTAGATTAGCTGGAAATAAAATGCAGAAATTGACAACATACAACAGCTGAAGAAAACAAATGGCAGCAGGGATATTTGGCTTGTTCACAGCAGCAAATGTAACCAATAAAGCATGGCAAATGTTTATTTAGTTAGTTAGTTTTAGAGGCAGCCTGACTCTGAGCAGCTTACGATTAAAAATGGAAAAACAATAAAAAGAATCTGCATCCAGACATCAATCAGGATTCCACAAGCATCCTACGCAGGGCCTCGGAGAACAGGCAGCGTCTTAAAGACTTCCAGAACATCATGGGGATAGGAACCAAACAGATCTCTGGGGGGCATTGCTCCAGAAGGCAGGCACTGCGACAGAGGAAGCATGCTTTCTGGGTTCCTTTAAATGGCATTGTTCAATCAAAGGGAGGAGGCAGACAAAGTATTATGCAATCTTCCAAAAAAGACTGGAACTTCACCTGAGATATGAAGGCTGCCAGATCTTGCAAGATGTTGGCAGTCTCGCTGAGATCTTGCAACATCAGGTGAGAATACTAAAATCACCTAAGATTTTAGCCATAATTTAAAAATACATTTTTAAAACCAGTGCTGAAACTTCTTGTGCACTAAGTAGGAATGTCATGAATTTTATGTTGCCAGCCTAAGAGCTAAAGGAAGCAGAACAGTTTCTAGGTGATCTTCACTGGCAGCCCCTTGTAGAGCAAACTGTAATTATGCAAACCATCTATAAGGCTTAAAATACATGTTTTGATTCTAAATTGTTTAAAATGAAAAAAAGGACAAAGGGTTCATATTTCCCTCACCCCCAAAGATCACATACTACATTTTTCCAACATCTATAGCAGCTAACAGATCACTCATTGCATCTAACTGTACCACGGATTCCATTTTTACAAGACATATTATGGATCTCTGTATTCTTATTTCTGAAGAATAAATGCATATTATAATATGGTAAAACCTACCTTTATTGCCCCTTTGGACTTTTTCTTCTTTATTCTTCGGCTTGGAAGTTATTTTAAAATAGTTATCAAGTGTTTTGGGCATTAAGCCTTGCTTTAATCCAACTCTTCTGGGTGAAACTGGAAGTTTCCTTGGGGACCACTCTTTTCTGGGAGACTGTTTTTCTATAATATCAATTTTATACTTAAATTTAAAACAGGAAAATATTGGCTTTTGTATTTCAAAAACAACCCTTTTCCATAATATAATTCTGCCATTTCCAAGGGAACTTATCTCAAACGTAGGCTGCATTTGGCCTTTGGGAAATATGCTGAGGGCCACATTCTAACAGGTACATGGGGCTAAGTTAAATTTGTTTTAATTATTGTTAAAATTAAATGTAGCTCAGGGTTATGGTTGTTGTTAGTCTTTTTTTCCAAAGTCTTCAAGTCAATGTTGACTCCTGGCAACTGCCTGGACTAGTCCCTGTTGTTTTCTTGGCAAGATTTTCAGAAGTATTTTGCCATTGTCTTCTTCCTCTTAGGGCTGAGAGAGAATGACTGGCCCCAAATCACTCAGCTGGCTCCATGCCTAAAGCAGGACTAGAACTCAGAGTCTACTGGTTTCTAGCCTATAGTAGTGCCTTTAACCACTACACCAAACTGGCTCTCAGCTCAGTTTAATTATATTTAACATGACTCCTCATGTGTTGATAACATTCCCCTCTTATCAGATTAGAAGTGCAGCAATTTAGGGGGAGGTTCAGAGGGCAGTTATAACTGTCACCTACAGGCTTGGATGTCAGTTTTTACATCTCTTATCATCCATAATTTGAAGGAAAAAAAATGAAAAGAGGAGAGGCCCAGGAGGGCTGGCTTTAGTGAAAAAGATGCAGCTCTAGGAAACCACCAGGGGGAGGGAGGAAGTTGTATTCCTGGGACATGCCAAAGATTCAACTAATAGTCATGTTCTCTCAGGATGTACATATCTTAAATCAGTGTTTCTCAACGTTGGCAACTTTAAAATGTGTGGACTTCAACTCCCAGAATTCCCCAGCTTAAAGTTGCCAAGGTGGAGAAACACTGTCCCAGATGTTCACAAGGCCAGAACTTCTGAAATAGCATTTATGTATATATACAAAAGGTCAGCTTTAGGTTCACTGACTTGGCCAGAGCAACAATCAGACATGTTCTATCCTCACCTGCCATTAACTTCAAGTACCTAAGTGGCTCAATGATATTGGGAAGGATATTCTGTAATCCCTGTCAGCAGTAATGCCGCTACTATAGACACAATACAGACGCAAGCCCAAGCAGATGAACCCACATAAAGGAAACACCTTTGTTGTCTCCGTACAGTGCTGATGCAGTGCTCTTTACATGCAGAGACAAATTATATAGTGCAACAGAGATAAATGGTAATTAATCAGGTAAGACTGAATTTATCCCTGTGTGAAAATAGATATAATAAAGTTTTTTTTAGGTCAAATAACAATTTTTAATTGCTCCCTCCTTTTTTTTTTTAATGTGCAAAAAAGAAGAAATATCTTACTTGGTGACTTGGTGCTACTGTAATGGTTAAAGAAGCATGGCTTATGAGCATGTACGCCTTGTTTGTCCACCTGGTGAGACTGAGTAGCTTCTTTCAGCTGCGAGAGAATCTGCCTTCCACTGCGCTGGCAAGAAGCGTTCACTTCAAATATCTGAAGGGTAATTGTAAAGAACAGATTAGTTCATAACACGAGGACTTCAACTCCACTTTCTTTACAGCTAGGACAAACCTTGAAGCCAAGCTCCTGTGCACAAGCGTAAACTGCGGCAGTCTTCCCTACGCCTGGGGGGCCGATGAGCAACGTGGTATTGCACAGAACGTTCTCTTCATCGCTCACTGATGCGTCGTCTATAAAATCCAAACTCTCCAAGGAATCTGTTAAGTTACAGCATTGCGTAGATAATCGCATCGATAATAAAATCAGCCTTAACTGAGCATATAAACCTAGACCGTTTTTTAATTGTTGGTTTCATTATCTATATTCATTTCAATATTTATATCCTTGTCATTCCATGAGGAAAAACAAAAGATAGAAAACATTAAAAAAAACCACACAGATAAAATGTTAAAATTTTACACAAAATGTATACCCCTACTGGGTTTTTGATATAGCTCACATTAAAAATTATAGTAAATTTGATGTTTAATACATTTTATTTTAAATAATGGAGAAAGATTCCAATATACCGTCTTTACCAGCGTTCTTCTTTTCTTTTTGAGTTCTGTTTTCTTCCCAATCAGCTTTTCTTTTCCATTCACACAGCCACCTAAAAGTAAAGATGTAATACTGGTTTGGTGCCTAGAAAAAATTACGTGACAAGAAAATTAAATTATCCTACTAAACAGAAGGAGGGGAGAATGCTACATATCACCAGCAGCAATACATTATTACGTCAAACCCTCCATGTTTATGAATGAATGAATGAATGAATGAATGAATGAATGAATGAATGAATGAACAAACAAACAAATAAAACCCCTACTTTTCTGGGGGATATATTTCCTGAACCAAAGTACCTGTACCTGCTTAGTATTTGTTGTGGCTACCATGTTAGCCAATGTCTTCTTCTGCATGGAACAAGCCACAGGAAATCCATAGTTTTGCTATGCTGTCTGCTTTGTTCCAGTTGGAAGAAATCACATGTACTATTTGGATGACATGGCAACTACAGATGGATGATTTGCAGTGGATTTTGGGGACTTAATGAAGTTGCAATGTGCATCATACAGAATCAGAGCTACAGAGTGAACAGAGCCCACATTATTAAGCTCTCAGCAGTAATTAAGGATCTGGAAACAGACCCCTATTTAAGTACTCCTCCCTTCTTAGTATTAATTATTGTGTAATATTACAACAGATAAACATAGAATTAATTTAAACCAGAGCTTGAAAGCTGACAAAGCAGTTCAAATACACTGAGAACCAGATATAGCAACAATTGTAATGGTCTGTGGGAATATCCTTGAGAGACAGGAGGAGGAAGAACTGCAAACAGGACAATGGTCAGATAAGTGACATCTCAGTCAACAGGAGGAACGGGGGCATGGTAAGCTTCTCAAAAGGGACCCTCCCTAGTTCCCTGAAAAGTAAAAGCAAGGGGGGAGAGATGGGCTTTCAAACTTGCAAGATTCTGTTATTGTAAACTTACAGAGAAGGTAGCGTTAGCACTCATAGTTTTGGTTTCTTGTTTGGACTACCTCGAAGGGCTGACAAAATTTATTTATAAAAAAGTTATTTCTGACCTATGTAGCTTTTTAATTGCTTCAGTGTTGCCTATAAGTTCACTGGAGTTTTGTGGCTGGTATTTTTCTGTCCAAAGCATGTCTTCATTTGCAAAATCTGTAGACATGAACAGAGGTTTATTCATTTTAGGATATCCCATGCATTTAAATACAACAAGTTTTATTACATCAAAACCTAGCAGTTATTTAGGTCAAATAAAGGTTTAAATTCTAATCAGTAAAGTTAATGTAATGGTGTTCTAATATATAACACTACATTCTGACATTACACTAAGCAAAACTGCCTGAAGTTTCATTCTGACTTCAATTAATCAAAGTTTAATATCTGAATATAAAACTGCAGTTAATTTTAGTTATCACTTTAAACAAACCAACTTCATGATACGGATAAGAATTTGCTTCTTTCAATAAGCAATAATGAAAATTAACTATAGTTTTTCAGAGAAAAGGACAAGATGGGATTAATCTAAATTAGAAATTAAATCTATTGCACCCCAAGAGGAAGACAGAGAACCACACAAAGGCAATAACTACAGCTTATTCTTTTCACAGTCTCCTCCAAATTCCACGTGTTGGATTTTTGCTCTCATAATTTCCCAAATGAGAGCCAGTTTGGTGTAGTGGTTAAGGCAACATGCTAGAAACCAGGAGACTCTGAGTTCTAGTCCTGCCTTAGGCTCAAAGCCAGCTTGGTAGTTTGGGGCAGTTGTTCTTCTCAGCCTTAGGAAGCAGGCAATGGCAAACTACTTCCGAAAATCTTGCTAAAAAACTGCAGGACTAGTCCAGGCAGTCACCAGGAGTCAACGCTGACCCAAAGGCGCAAAATAAATAAATAAATTTTAAAAATCCTCCAAAGGGCACAGACATTTATTTATCTATTGAATTTGTCACTGCCCATCTCATGACACAACTCTGGGCGGTTTACAAGATAAAAGTTCATTAAAATACAACATAAAAACAATCCTAAAAATAAGGACACACCACATGGGTGGGATTATAGTAGTTAAATCTAACAGATCTGGAGGATGCTGGAGGTGAAGAATACTGTGCTAAAATCTGGGTATCACATATAGCCCCCCAAAAGGTAAACCCCTCTTAAATTCAGACTTTGAATTTATAATTTTATTGCCTTTTTTCAATACAATAGCTGTAAAACACATTTTAAACAAATTTATTTAAAAATAAATAAATGTTTATTTCTTCAAATAAATTTAAAACAAATTTATCTGAAAGCAGGTTCTACAAGCAGCTAAGGATCTCATTATTGTGTAAAGACCTAATGAGGAACAGGTTAATTATTATTAGATTTGATCACAATTTGTTTGATTAAAATGAAATAAGACATATGATGGAACTACTCAGTCTGAAGTAAGTCCTATTAATTTTTATTGCAGTATCAGTAGATAATAGATTGGAAGTATAGATTAACCAAGATACCACAGGACCATGGCATACAGTCCACAGTTTAAAAAGCCTAAGATTTATAACTAAATAATCCAATTAAAATAGCCGCATCTTGGATTCAACATTACACTGCTGAAGCAGAAGGAATGTCTGGGAATTCACTGCTGATTAACCACCTAGTCTGCTGTTCATCACATGCCTCCCCATTACAATTCTCTAGTGCACACACTGCATTACCCAATTTAGGTCTAATCAAGCTGTTCTATAATAAAGTTTTCTATAAATAATGTACTCCATGCTGAGAAAAACAAGTAAGGTTGTAACGTAGGACTACCACACTTATTTTCTAAAGCATTTAGAGTAAAGCCAATTACCAGAAAGACTGGTGATTTCTGATCCAAACTGAGAGTCTTCTGTTGTTTTCATCTCAGATTCTTCCATTTTATCCACATCTATTATGTGGCTATTTTCTGCACCAATCGGTTTTGCACATGGTATTTGGGAAGGGTTTTTTGATAATCCGGTCTCTGATTTTTCCTTCTGGTTCTTTCTTTTGCATTTGCGATCTTCAGTTTTTCGTTTCCTTTTGCCTTCCTTTTGAACTTCAGTTGCGTCTGTTTCAGAATTAACAGCTTCACATTTATTTACTAATTACAGAAAAAATATGCAAGATATCATACCTCTGTGCAATTTCCAGCATCAATTATTTAACCTATTCCAATAGTTATTAGGAATATTATCCAAAGTATTGTAATGTTCTGTGCATACTTTAGCACTCTCTTTCAACTACCTATGCTCTCAAAAAGAACCTACTGAAAATCAGGTGAATCCTCCAGGACATACTATTATCTATTTTTCTGGAGGATATACTTCCCTGAACTAAAGATCTTACTTCTCAGTAAATACATTTATTTGCTATTTATACCTAAACAATAATTTTAATTATACATACTGCTCACCTTGTTTATTATTTTCAGGAGGAGCCTGTTTTTTCAAAAGTAGATCAAAAAACAGTTTCACAGGAAACTGAGTGTTGGAAGACTGAATCTCCTCCAACAAAACACTCCTTTGTATTTTGGAAAATACTGGTCGCCACCCAGATGGCTGTAAATAAAAGAAAACAAATGTTGTTTGCACACTGAATATTTCTGGTAATTAAAAGTTGTTTGATAGCACACAATATTCTCTGGAAACTATGCAGTTAAAAATATAATGTAATAAAACTCACTTTAATAATTAAAATTGTCACATAAAATTTATTCACATGCATTATTCACACACAATATTAAGTCATGATTCCTTGATTCTTTAATCAAGAATGATATATCCAAGAATTTATCGTTCTTGATTAAATGTAATCCTTTGGATAGGACGACTGATGCCCTTTTCTTTCCTTCTGTTCCCCTCTGGGTTTATTTTCTTTGCCATCGCTGTTTCTTTGTCTTGTGTTGTTTTTGTGTTTTTTGTATTGTTCTTTGTTTTTAAACATTTTAACAACTGTAAACTGCCCAGAGTCACTGTGAGCTGGGCAGCATATAAATTTAATTTAATAAATTATTATTATTATTGCACGTACCTGATCATTCCTGCTCAGCTCCTGTACTTGAAAGTACAGCTTCATTTATCAAAACCCACAGAATGAAAAAGCTTAATGTGACACATATATAAATATGTCTGGTTCAGATGCAAAGTATTTCTACCCCTTTTTAAGGAAGAGATACCATTCCATATAATATTGTTATTATATTAGTAAAATCACATACATAATGCTACCGAAAACACTCAGAAACACTAGTAAGACGTTTCTAAAACACAGAATCCACAATTTGTATCAAGTAGGAATCTAAAGACGGGGCTAAACTTAGCCTATAATACCTGGCTTGTGAGAAAAGGCAAATCAAAAGTCACTAAACTTTTTTGCTGAGTTCCTATGATTATAAAAACTGTCCCCACTACTGGGAGAAACAAAGCAGGAGCAATTAGGCAGCTGCACATTGTGGCTCACTATTTTGTACTAAGGTGGCACATTTATTGAAAATGGTCATAAGAATGATTATAAAATACTAACCACAACAACTGCAGAATCACTGCTATTAGGTTGTGTATTTAAAACTGAGAGTTCACCCAGTGAAAGAGTAAGCTTTGCAGCATCAATTACTTCAGAATTCACGTCCATAAGTTTAGTTAAGAGGGGGCAAGAGGGTGGTGCCAATCTCCACATCAAGCATTCTACAAAAGAATAAAAACTCAGTTAACAAGTTTTAGAAAGATATTCTTGGATAGAATTATAGGAGAATCAAATAATGGGACAGTATTCATTTATCTGTAACATGCTTGTTGGTGATTAGCAGGTTGTTGGAAAGAATGCGAGACACAGTACTGCAGAAATCAATATTGCACAAAAAGGCCCATTCTAAGATGAACTTAAAACAAAACCTCCCCCGACTTTTAAGTTCTCTCAATCAAAATTCATTGATTGGCCTGCCCACTAACATAGGCGGAACATTACTACACACCTAGTACTTTGCACTCCCACATGTCCTGCATTTGTATTTCTAGGCTGTTTACTTTGTTTCCTACCATCTTCCCATATGAAAAAGTGGATCTTAGATTTATTTCCCCAATTCTCTCCAAACCAAAAAGCTATTACAATGAAACTTTGCTTTATCAAATCCCTATTAAATGGATTTTAGATACAATACACTAATTTTCTTCTGAACATTTCCCCAAAAAACATGTAAATCAGTTGAATGTGAAGTAGTTTATATGAGGCAATTAAATTTATATTAATTGTATACCTTCCATAGCTGCTTATATAATTTGTGAAATACCATCATTTCACAAATCATCATGATATACTATAACAGATATTTAGGAGTCAGTGACACCCCTTTCCCCCAAATAGTCTGCTGAAACAAGATTTCACTGTACTCTCAAAGCCAAGGTATTAAGTGTGCCAGTAAACTTCCCTTTAAATGAAAATGTCCAATAACTTAATATTCGCTACAAGAACTTCAAAAGATCAGTACTCACTATCATCCTTCTGCTGAACATGGATCACTTTTTGAAAACAGGAATTAGCTGCAGAATATGCTTCCAATGCTGCTGTTTTTTTTGCAATCTGCCTCTTTAAAGATTCTGGCAAACCGCTCATTAAAAATTCACGTTTTGCTTTGAACTCTGTGTCATCTTGCGAATTTTCAGACTCATCTTCGCTAATGAAAATGACAACCAAAAATAGCCAAACTTCAATACACAACATTTTGTTACAGCAATGGTTTCTCAGAAGATCCCCAGAACCTTACCAAGAACATTCAGTAAGATCAGTAGAGAAAAAAGTTTTTGAAAACAATGCTGACCTCCCCTTACAACGTACAACCACAAGGGAGTATCAAATGCTCCCCATTTGAAAGATGCGCATGAGGCCAAGTAGACTAAAGCTATGTTCAAAAACATACCCTGGAATCCTCTGCAGCATACATTTCATGCAATCTTTGAAGGAAGACAGTTAGAAAGCCTCAGCCTCACTACATTCAGGTGTATTTCTTGTAGTTTTAATGGTGCTGCATATTTTGTAATGAAAAATAATAAAAACCAGGTTTCTTAATACTTATTCCTAGAACGAAACTTTAGAAATATTTGCTGCTTGTTTGGGTTTTAAAACATACACTAAACTTGAGAACATCATACCTGCTGTTGCCGCCCAGATTTTTGTTTTCTGTGGAGAATCTAGCTGATACTAGTAATTTTCCAATCCTTCAATACTTAGTTGCTCGATTTACTGCACTAGTGTGCCCTATTACCAAATCCCCTTCTATCAGTTGGAGGGTTACTGGATGCCAGTGAGGGTGTGCATCAGTTGAATGAGTGTCAGTAGGACTATGGAGCTGTTAGTGCACACTGCAAATTTTGGGTTTCAAGTGCTTCAGCAGTTGCGATGCTAAGGACTGGGAGGGAATGCAATGCTGAACTTTTTGTGAGTCTTTAGCTGCGCTACTTTCTACTGCATACAGTACTGACAGGGAATGAATGCCTTTATGTGAAACTGGACCATAGGAACAAGTCAGGGCTGCTGCTGATGTACTGACCACCGTGCTGCCTGACACTGGCTCTTCCTGAACTGCTAGATCGCATATTGGAGCTGGTTGGTATTTGGAGTCTTGTGGGCTTCTGGGGCTGGAAGATTTCAATCCCCATGTCTTGGGTGTGGAATCTGGATAGGCTCAGGATTTCATAACTTCCATGGGGTTGCCTCCGGTGTTCTCAGTCTAACACACTTTGGCAATTGCACATTAAAACTGATTTTCATCTTGGAACAGATGCATCATTATTCAAAGATGGAGGACACTGTTGCCAGTCCTTTGCTACAGTCAGATCATTTTCTGGGCAGTATGTAGTTTGTTGGTACACTTTCTTCTGCAAGAATGGGAGACGAATTAAGATAGAGATTATGGGCCTATAGGACTTTTAGGGCTTTCTGAGGGTAAATGGAGGTAGGCAATTTGTTGTGCAGCTTATCCAATTCTGGAATACAGAGACCACAAAGGTATTGAGTAAGACTGCCTGAGTGGCATCTCACTAATAGTTGCTCCCAAAGGGCACCCTGGTTTACCAAGGAGCTCGGGATGATGAAAGAACTTAAGAGATACTAGAGCAATGGTGGCAACAGACACCAAACACATTCACACAAACAAAGTTAGATGGCCATGTTTACATACACGGGAGAAAAAGGCATAAGAACTGGAACTTTGATTTCACTATAAATAGCTGTACACAAGCATTGTAATACATACATGCATGCATACATATCAACACATCCTTTTCCCAAGTAGAATATGATGTCCAATCATGCCTCTATCAAATGTGTGTGTGAGCTCTAACTGATACTACAAATTTTTGCATCAAGAAGCATCTGGCTTGACAAACAAATACCAGCAAAATGCAATTTTCAACTTAATTTAGAAATACCATAACTCCCATAGTTATATCATTCTTCCATGTAGCTATAATGGACTGACCTGGATTTGACACAAATAACTGCTTCATCTGTAGATTTTTTAACTTTTTTCCTAATTAACGAAGACATTTTCTCCTTCCCTTTAAAGACAACATATTGCTAAATTAGTATTAAATTATGTATAGACAACACTATAGTCCTAATTTAGTACTGAAACAACATAATAAGAGAAATAAAAGTCTCTTAATGAATCATTCATTCTTTATGAACGTTTCCAGGCATTATTACATAATCTTACACAAAGGTAAGGACACCCTTAATTTTTCTCCTAAATATGGCCTAGATTTTATAAGATTTTGGTGATCTCAGTTGTAATGACTGAGTTACTGCTCTTGCACAGTAATCTTACACAATTTATTTATTTTATTTATTAAATTTCTCCCCCA